CATAGAAGGTCTCATTGTCTTATTTACTGGTGCAACATCTCCATTTTATGCTCTTCAGACCGACCCTTCCTTCATCCATCTTTCCATTCCCGCTACGGAGAAAGCAAAGAAAACCCATATTTCATGCTCTTTCCTGCATCTTAGGTTGTGTTCTCTTCACTCCGCTGTCTCCAGCCAACCTCAGTCGCTCATTTTGACAAACCACCACTTTCGTTAAAAAAATCTCCGAAATCCACTTTTCCCCAGTCCAGAACCGAATAGACGGGAACTAGCAGGAATAGCAGTGGTAGCAGCGTGGTCACAAATAGCGGTGCACAGGAGTACACATACATTGAGGAACCTTGCATTTCCTTGGAAATTGAAGGAAGGATTCCCCCGCAACACTGCAGCACAAGTTAACTGTCACCTTCTCTCTCCACACTCGTTGAAAAGAAGGTCTTGCGACTTTTCATTTCTTTCTTTCTTTTTTTTAACTCTCTCCAATCCTTCGTAGTAGCAGTATCGTGCTACCACAACCTGTCATTACACAACACAGTATTGTCGGTTGTCACCTGCAGCACCTTTCAGTCAACTGCCTGCTCAACCAGTCACTCGTTTACTCAGATACCTTTACAGTTTGCATTGAGAATTTCGAAGCTTATCAATTCAATAAGAACTTTCCCTCTTCCTTCATTCACGGGTCATTACTCTGGTTATCTACACATCACTCATCTGAGATATTGATATTCGTAATCGTTAAAAATGATTGTACGAGTTGCAACTCTTTTTGGTGCAGCAGCATTCATGCTCGCACCCTTCCTTGTAGCAGGTAAGCCTCCCAACGTCTTAATCCTGTATTAATTGGTTGCTGCTGCTGCTGCTACTGCTACTACTACTACTACTACTATCACTATTGCTTCGTCATTATGTTCGATACACTCTAACATCCGATTTAAACTCTAGCCGACTGTGAATGTGGTTATTCTGTCAATAAAACCACCGACGAAACTTACGCTGTCTTCACTGATCTCCTCGAATCGGACTTTTTGACTCTCAGTAACATCACTGAGGACACTGATTGGGCCATTCAATCATGGAGTGTTGACAAGGAGGCTTCAAAGGGGCCATATGGGCGCATAACAGAGCCCAGGAACGTTGTCTCAAACCCAGCAAAATCTACAAATACTTCGGAGGGACTCAATGGAGATCAGGCCGGGTTGGAGCTGTATGTCAGGAAGCTTGGGGAAAATGAGGACCACGTCAGTGTTGCGGAGGTCGATTCAAGGAGGACTGATATGCGTTATGGAAGTTTCAGAGCGGGAATCAAGGCTACTGACATTTCTGGCACCTGTGGAGCTTTTTTCTGGTAAGATTTCCTTTGCTTATCCTTACTCCCTGAACCCGCTCTAACTCAACCCCTGCTCAGGTACCTCAATGACACCCAGGAGATCGATATGGAATTTCTCTCTGCGCAGATCAACCAGACCTCTTCTCCTGTTAACCTTGTCCTTCACTCTGCTCTCACTGAGAGTCACGGGGGAGATGCAAAGGGCACTCCTACCTATAAAGTCATCCCACTTCCGTTCAACTCGGCCGAGGAGGTGCACGAGTACCGCTTTGGTAAGTTTTGGTCGCCTATAATATTATGGAGGGTTTGGTGAGCTAACATTATCCCATAGACTGGCAGCCTGGTAGTGTTAGTTTCTACGCCGATGGAAAATGGATTGATACCATGAGGGACGCTAGATATGTCCCACAGGCTGCTGGAAAGGTTATTCTCTCTCACTGGTCCAATGGAAACCCCCTTTGGTCTGGTGGTCCACCAGCCGTCGACGCGAAAATCACCGTTCAATATGTTCAAGCATATTTTAACTCATCAGATCCTGCTCGTGCTCGCGACCATGCTACGCGTTGCAAAGATCCAAACTCTGCGAATGCGATTTGTGAAATCCCTGCTCTGACGGGTCCCCCGACACCTGGAAATGTCCATTTCTTCTCTCAAGCTCCGAGCGGGAACATGACAAACAACCAGACTGTGTATGCAAATGATAAGAAGGAGAGCTCTGCACCGAGGAAGAGTACTGGAATCGTTACTGCGGTTTTAATTGCTGCTATGGTTGCTTGGGTTGTTTAATAGCTCATAGACCAATAATCACGGTTTAATGAGTTAAGAACCCGGGTTGTACATTTAAATGTTTCTTACTCTTAATACTGTGTGCGTCATGATCAAGGGAGTTGAATGGGCACGCAGTTGCCGAGATGTGTATATTTTTCTTTCTTTCACGGTTCGGTTTGGGAAAACGGCGGTTTTTTTTCTTTTTCCTTTACCTTTTTTTCATTCCCCTTTACAATACCCCTTCCTATTTTGCCCTTGTTGATAATCCGTTTCATTGCTCATTTTTAACATCTAGGATTGGGCTGTAGTTTTTACTCTCTAATGTTTTATGTTCCTTCCTATTTTGCTTCATATTTCACTCTTGTTAAATATCATTTCTCTCTACCCCCCTCGTGCCTTTACCTGGCGCATTCATCCTTTGATCATGTCTGTCACGAATTTTCCTTCATGTCTCATCAATTACACTACTGCTGTGTGGGGTATTTACAGACCCTCATAATATCCCTTGCAGGATGAGCGATTTGCATGTACTTATTCGGTAGCGCATAGCAAAGACGCATGTAACCTGATGCAGACTTGACTGCAAGTCTCAGAAGGTCTAAAATGGATATGCTACACAACCTATGCCAAGTGATGTTCAAATACAGCACATATCGTTGGCCACTGCTACGTATGTAGGCATGACTAAGTAACATTTTGCTCTAGTCGCGATCTGATGTCCCTACACTCGGCCTCCGCGTGACCATCTCAACTGAAACCTGCACTTGTCACCTACCACATGTGTGAGTACATATGTAGATCTAGAGTCTTGAGTTAGAGCTCGCCTTGATTTAAGACACAACACAACCCGATTGTGTGAACTCGTCATTGAGGGGAAAAGGCATAAAAAAATAAAAAAAATCTGGACAGCAACGGTGATGTACCCGGCACAGTTCCGGAGTGGCGGACATCGAGTGACAAGTGTCTGTGCCCGGGAAAGGCCATACTCTAGAACGGAATGGGCCGAGATGCGGGGTAGTTAAGCCTTGGTCTGCCGTATTAACCGCCAAGACTTGTGTTTTTATGGGAGAGTTATGCTGCGAGTGAGGGGTTGTGACGTTGCAACTGTGGTCCTACGAGCACAGTTTGTTGAGGTTGAGTTGGCCGACACTACCGATCGATCATTGTAGGAGACACCGATGCTGATATGAAATCCCCCCACAAAAAAGAGAAGGTATTCTTTCTCGGGAGCGGGCCAGCCCTATTGCTGACACATAGGAATCTGAGATGATTAGGCACTCTTTTTTTCATCTGTTTTGTTTTCTTTCCAGGGACCTTTTTGGATGGTTGCTCATTGACCTTATCGGTGGAGGCGAGTTTTGCTTTTTCTCTCGGCAGGGGTAGATTTTCTATATATGGACGGTTCGTGGCTTGCAGATCAGGATGCTGTTGTTGACTGTGGCTAGTAGGTACAAGCATCAAGGATCACTCGGGACAGCAACTACAGACTGTGCAGCTGCGTGCTTTGCGGAAAAACAGGTATTCACCTGAGTGACCACCTTCCGCGGACGGTCCCGATCCTAATTTATATCCCCATAGACTGTGTAGGCGCAATTTGCAAATCTAAGACCATGTGTAGATTTGGAAGCTGCTGGTAGGATGGGATGTTTAGGATATAGTGCTCGCTCGTGTTATTGTTTGCCGACATCCTACTTTCTCGTCGTGGTGGTATATAGTATCAGGAACGCCCCCCCCGTGTGGTAAGTAGCAAGTAAATATACCGCCGGTAAACCTTGTTTTTGCAAGAGATACAGTGGTTTGGTTCCGAAGTCTGGTGTGGCTGGCGTTTGACATGCACCGAACCGAATCGCAAATCTGGTACATAACTGTATTAAGCCCTCCAAGGAATTGCAGTGTGTATCAACATTCCTAGCGACTGCGGGAGCGCTCGTCACACCACCTAGTTGATCCGTCGTATCAGCCTATCTTCCATATGCTCCTTGTTCTGAATTGATGGGTAGACACACTGAATATAGGCACTATGCCCCCGCCCCCCGGCCCCCTTAGCATGTATCCTCGGGATCCCGACAGGTAATGCCATAACTGGTACAGTTACCGTTCGTAGAGGACAGATGGCCGCCCTTGGTATGAGGTATAGTGAATTTGATAATGATTTTATAGAGTGGTATAGGTACTATTTGCCTAATTGTGCTTTTAGAAGTATCTCTGTGGTTGGTCGAATATTCGGTAGGCATTCTTCATGGGTCGTGCCGGGTAAGCGTTGGCAGGTGGTAACACCGATCTAAAGGCACAATCCTATGTACCTAGGGTACCTAGAACCCGTCTTGAGTACTCTACCGGTACAACCAGTAAGCATGTGTAGGACTTATCAGCAAACGAACCGCAGATTATTTACTAATCAAATAACTATGACCAAGGTCCAAAAATACAACCAGGCCGTGTATGTGCGACCCGATAAAAGAGGTCGGTATCCTCCCACTTCAGTATTTAACCGCCGATGCAGTTAGTTTTTTTCTTTCTTTTTTTTCTCTTCATTATTTTGGTAGCGAATATAGATACTTATATTTTAGATCTGATCTGATCTAATGTGCTTGCTGGCGGTTCAGATAATTCTGTATACATAAGACGGTTGTGCGTTGGCGGACGAAAGGATGACGGCCCGCTCGCTGCGTTATTGTAACCACCAAACCACCAACGGCGAGTGTATTTTTTCTTTTCATTCTTTACTGCCTTCCTTTTTTTTCGCGATCTGAATTCTCTCATTGGTAACGGACACCTGGAGCGTTTGTCGCTTGGTTGATAGTTTGGAATGGTTGACAGTAACGAGGTAAAACATTCGGTTCCCATAGCTGAGTCTAGCTCAGTAGGTACTCGTACTCAGGGTGCATGTTGAATGGAGAAGTGGCTAAACATTAACTAGAATGTGGGGTTTTAGGGCCTCAGGCACTAAATATTCATGTTAACAAGGTCTTTAAGTCTCCAAGCCTTTCGACCCTGCATCATCCACGTGCATATTCCACCTCCAAGCCATACTCACAACCAAACACCCTTATTTACTTGGCAAATCTGGGCTACCAAGTACAGCACCGTTTATTCATATTGTGGTAATTTTTTCTTGGAACTGACGCGTAACGTACGTACTCTGAAGTCAGCTAAGACTTTGCAAGTACAGTCGTCCGGCCGCCGATATAACGAACGTGCATATTCCAAAGTTTTAATTCCGTTCGATACAGCAGATTATTCGGTATAGCAGGCAAGTTTCTATGTGAAATTTAGATTCGGATCACCAAAACCCGTTCGTTATAGCAAATTTGTTGCTTTTTTGGCATTCGTTATATCGGCGAACGACTGTAACGCAAGTGAGGAATCTTTTATTCGCATGCACATCGTGTCACTCGACTAAAAAAGATCAGCCGGAACCTTCCGCCCTGGGGAAAGAGTCCCAAATTTCACGCAATGAGGTAATTTCGGGGACTCCGTTCCGGCAGTGATATTCAAGGGGACATCACTACATGTAATAGAGTAACTGTATGTATGTAATGATGAACCTTCGGGGAGTTAATGCATGGGCTTACAGCAAAGATTAAGAACGACGCAGAAGACCCCGTTTCATGAATATTTTTGAGTAGCTGGCTAGGCCAGGTATTACTGGAATCAACGAAACTGGTTCCAAGGAGGTCAAGTCGCTGGTTGAGAGGGGCCGCTACAGAGCTGGCTGCGCTGGATTTCAACTTTCCAAATCTATTTGGGAGCCTATTGTAAATGTTGTTAGAGACAATTTGACGCTTTCTAGAGACTAGGTTATGTGAGTAGGGGTATACCGGTATTCGGGTAACATGTATAACTGTTATCAGCGGCATTGATAATGATGATGCATATAATGAGGATTTATCATAGACACTCGGGGAGAGCCTCCTCTATATAATCTTCTAGCCTCTCATTAGCGCTATTTCCAAAGCCACGTCTCTGCCACATCAGCTGGCATACATATACCTTTACTCTCTCATGCCTCCACATGCCCGCACCTTATTCCCTGCAGTACTTCCGGATGCCCTCTTACAACGATCGAACTACATAAGAACAATGATGCTCTAAGTGACGCGTTAATAAGAGCGCAAGAGTGAAAATATACTTATCCAGCATCGAAACGGTCTATTTAAGTTTAAAAAGCACTATAACGAACAAAGTAGGCGAGCTACACACAACTGGTATTCGATGAGTGAGACTTGGAAGATGAGATTGCAATGTGCTGGACTTGTGAGTGGCTGCTGGTTGGTATTATTTCAGAGGATCTGACGCACTAGTATACAGGTGAACCATGAACATGGAGAGTTTCTTCCCTGGTTCGATATAGGAAAATCAATCAAAGTCACCCGCGGGGTTTCTGATTAGTGTTAAAGTCGTACCTGGAGTCGAATTCTGGTGCTTAATTAGACACCAATTAATTCTGGATTGATTGAAAGGTGTGAGCGTGGCCCGCCGGGAGGCCCGGGGAGCTCGAGAGGCAATAGGATTACCGCAAAGGCATCTATCTCATCTTGATACGAGCAGATGGGTTTCGTCAAAGTCCTCGAAAATCCCAGGGAGCTTCGGCACACGTATTCGTGAGGGCAAATTTGGTAAACCGAGTACAAATCCTCACAATAATACATACTTCCGCGCAACCTTCATTTTGAGTTGAGCAGAGTATTACCAAATGACAATATTTCTCACAAATCTCCATCTTATAATATTATAGGTTACCTTCCCTATAAACTTCACGGATCATAGCATCAATGAGAATAGGGGTACCTACGGGGTTACCTTTAGAGGTATGGAGCATAGACCACTGAATCTATGGAATTGGAAACAGCTAATGAGAGGCAAATTATAGCGCCTACAAATTATACCCTACCTCCTATCAGGAATTATCCAGCTCCCCAGAGCAGATGCATGGCTGTTATCATGGCACTGTCAGATTGCTCCTTCATAGCCACCGCGAACTCCATAGAGCCAGCTTCTATTGTTATTGGTGCTGACCATGAGACCCAACTCATGTCATAAGTTATGTGTATCGAGTACCGGGTGACCGGGTACTATGCGGAGTATATGCGAGCTTCATGGATCCAGAAAGACAGTTTTTAAACCCCTGGCACTGGTGCTGCATATGCTAGGAAGTGGACCTGGGGCAATTATGCCAGATGGCATACATTCCTTTTGAGTGAAGTAATATCTGGAATATAAACGTCGCTGAGAAATCTGCATCTAGTAATGTCAAGTTTTCTTTCGGTGGGAAGCGTTTGATCGGGTTTCTTGCCTGCTACGGTGCCTCGAATGTAGCAGTAGACCTTTCCGAAAGGGCTACTTTAAATGATGTCTTGGCGATGACAGGCTCCTTCCACCCCCGAAGCAGACTTCATTCGCTGCAGACGTTATTAACCTAGGTTGGTAGTTATCATGGGGGACATAATACCGTTCGAGAGTACCCATGGTATATTCGAATTAAGCGTAGTTTGGAAGTGGGTTTTAATTTCAATTTCAACCAAAATTCGGGAAGATCGACAACTAGACTGAGCGAATCGATATGAATCCCAAGAAATTTGGTCCTACAGCCCAAAATCTCAACAAATTAACCCTGAATCTCCTCCATTTTCAGCAGTTATATATGCCGTAGCGGTACGTCGAGAGATAAAACTGATATTTAATCACTAGTGAGATGAGCTGAACTCGAGTTTTCGGATATCCTTATTAAGACTAACTATAATACTGAAGACTTAGGTTATTCTGACCAAATAGAATATTTGAGTCTATTTAGGCGTTATTGTGAACGAAAAGCCTAGTTCGTATTTTTTTTTTTACAGAGCCCGACCGAGTGATAATCTATGATTATGAAAGGCTTTTTGTCCTGCTAAGAGACTTGAAAAATTAGAAGGGACCCTTCTGGCCAAGAGCCTGGTCCACTCAAAGAAGTTTTTATACTAATTGGCCTCGTTTGTACCTGAATATATGACTAAATGATAATTCCTCGTTCCGTAAGGAAAATACTGGCTTCTGATGTAAGTATAGGACTCCTCTCCCAGCTGAGAAATATTGGGACCAATCAATTGAGAGGTCTTTACTGTGATCCCATGTCCACTCGTTGAGCCAGAGGGTATATTTGTCTTTACTCCATCGACAGATGTAGTTGTTTCACATTTCCCGGGACCTTGGGACTCTAAGTCTGGGTTATTTTCTAACATAATTCCGCTTCTCATATTTAGTTAGATTTCCTACTTTCTATATAGTCAATATGTAATAATTTAGACAGATTATGCCAAAAACGACATGAGCAGAAGGGGCTATCAGCGCTCCCCGGGAGAACTTTTGAAACATTTGCGCGTGTGATTTATGGTCTGAGGAATTAATAGGTTTCTATGCACTACACCCCCAATTTTCGCCGAGAACTAACATGCTACACTGAAAGCTTCCTATAAAGGTATACCAGGTACTTGATTGAGGGGCCCGGGGCGTATCGATTAAGGGATCGAAGCCCCCTCCGGATCCTGCTAGCTTGTTCTTCGGATGAGGATTCCCGCTCTACGAATTAGGAACTGATAACTCCCCACTTCAAGACTTCAGCATGGCCGCCTCAGATAACTGTTATCCTTCTCTCTTGGATCCCTGGTGGGGGCGGGGTTTGGAGGGTGCAACCAGCGACGAGGTCTTGTTGGTCGATTCATCATATTGATCAGTCCTAAGACATATTATCACCTAATCCTACGCTTTAAATTTTTATAAACCACTCCACTAAAGCACTTAATTTGAACAACGTCACTAGTATTAACAAATAGACTAAGAAGTGGTACCCTTGCGATTTTAACGATTTAACTTTCCACGAGCTGTCGCTATCTGGTAGGACGATGCTTAGGGAGCCTAGCTATAATAAGTACTACTACGGTCTCTTTGGAGCTTGAGTCGCTACTAAAAAAACTATATGAAATCACCGCCAGAAACTGTCGGCCAGAGGCCGCATTTCATTTAACGTTGTTTGAAATTTAACCTTTATATTTACAACCCCATTGAACACTACAAACATTAAAAAGAGCTAATATCCCCCTATGAAACAAAAGAACTTTACCGTCCTAAAAGAATGTCTAAATAAAATGCACTACTCTCACCGAACTACCTAAGCCCGCGTCGAAGCGTACTCCTCCGAGATCTCTACCCCGCTTATCGCCGTCCCCGTCACACTATCCAACTTCATCACTCTTTTCGTCACAACCCTACCCACTGGCGTATTGAACTCAAATACACCTAGGCTTTGCACCATCGCCGCAATTGAGCTATCTTTTTGAGACCAGAGGCCTAGGCTCCATACTGATGCGGATGTAGGCTTTGTGTTCAGTGTAGTTGTATTGTGGATTACTGGGTTTTTTAATTAGTACTTGTGGTGCAGAGTTTGCATTGGTAATGGCTTCATGACTTACGGGGTAGGGGTAGCTTTGACGGGCGACAGTCCCCTCGAGCTCTGGAGCGTTGATGGTACTCGGAGGAGGTATGCTTATGGCAGTGAACGCAGCCCATGATGAAGTGTGAGAGTTTATCCTTTAGAGTGATCGATTGGTGATGGTGTCTAGGTCTAAAGACTTGGTATATACGTGTAGTGCTCGGAGTTGATGCTAATATTCACTGGTGTTTTAGTTCTAGAGATAGAATGCGAAAAAAAAACCTTTGAAAGGATGGTCCGGAGGTTTTATGAAGGAATTCCAAGAGTTTATAATTCCTCCCACCACAAAATTCTGATATACTCATCAGAACCCCAGAATATCACAACCAAGTAACGACCCCGCCAAGACCGGCCAGGCAAAGCTGCAAGGCGCGGCGACCAAGCAGAATTCGCACATATTTCATTAACTCCGACCAGCCCGCCAATGGTGGGGTGTACAGGTCAAGTTACACTTGCACTTGTGTGCACATTTCGCCAATACAGCGCACTTAGTGTGCAAGGCAAAATTTCACTCCACTGCGCATTCGACATTGAACATCTGGATGCAGACATGTTTCACTTTGGATGAGCTAGATCATTCGATGTGCGAGAAGCACAGCAACGTAGAGCCACCAACCAGACAACTGGGTCTTTTCTCCGGCCAATGGGGGCGCTGCCTGGGGTCCGAGAATTAAGCTCCTGTTTGTACCTGCCGCGTCTATCGCGTCGTATAGGTGCCGAACTTTGCGGGGGCTCATAACTACAGGTAGATACCCTACTCTAGAGTACGGGAGAGGACGGATGCGGACCTTGTGAATCAGACAAATGCGGATCAGTGGTTTGGCAGCTTGGCTGATTCTCCATCAAAAGCTGATGATTTCTCTCATTTGGAGCCGCAGTTCGGGAACTTGCTCTTTCGTAACACCTCTTCTATGAGTATATTGAATTCACTGCTAATCACCCAAGTTCCCTAAACCGGAAAATCCCCGTCAGCTTGATATTTCTTTCGTCTCCAGCGCCTCGCTGCCACGATACAAGTTTGCTGTCGTCGTCCTTCGACCATCTTCCGGTATCATGAATTAACCGCGCGAGAGTTTCATCAATGAGCACAGCCCCGCCTTTTTCTGCGCGGCATGCGCAGACGGGCTGATTTGTAACTGCGGATCGGGGAACCCGATTGGCTACCCCGGGTGAAACGGCAAGGAACAGTAAGTGGTGGGCTGATCGGAGAATTGTTAGATTGAAGATGCTGTTTCATGGCCATGGTTGGGTGTATGTGCATTGTGCCTACATGATACCGTACTCTCGGCGCTGCATGTGTAGCAGAGGTTTGGCGAGTGATGGCTGATGATGAAACAGCGGCGGCTGCGCTGCTTAGTAGGAGACTTTTGGGCGATGTCCGTGGCTTGCAGTGACAGTTCTACTCAGGCCCGAACTGCATTGTCTTTGATAGAATATCGACTAATTGCATGGACTATTCCAGACGTTGAAATTTTGTGAGAGCCGTGGCGGTACGCCTTCTACGTCACAGCACCAATGGGGATACAGGGTGTACGAAACGGGCGAAATATAATGTCCGTTTACGCTCTTTCTAGAATTCTGCCTACTTCTAGTTTCATCGGGAGCATGGCGCAACCCGTATGGAAGAAAGGCTGAGCTACAACGGTATGGCAGGTCCGCCCCTCTTTTTTTCGGCCCATCTCATGGCCGTTGGATTACTGTCTGTCAGGCTCTTTTATCCCCTATAGGAGTTGCTGTTCTAGATGTGGGTTTTGGCTCGTTCATGTGCTACAGCTAGCTTAGGTTCGTACCCAGCCGTCCTACAGCTAGCTAGATACGATGGGTTCTTTTTTATATTGTAGCACCTTTGCCCCCCACAGTATCTGCGCGGGGACTGAACACTGAGCTATATGATGGTCAGCTCTAACTTTCATGGGGGGTGGCTAAGCTTAGGGCTATGGACGGATGGGGAGATTGTGGCGCTTACCTTGAAAAATGTATTCATGAATACATCATACTAGCTTAGCTATTTTCAATTCATTAAAAAACGACCTCTCTTTAGGTTCTCTCTATGAGACTCTACATATACAGTGACAGAAATGTGGATGAAATTACTACCGCTGTCTTTGGCAACGCCGTAGAACTGCGGTAATACTTTGTACTGTATACTTCATTAAAATACAGAGATAAAAAGGCATATTCTCATAGTGCCGTACTTATACGGTATTAGTTTTACCCCCATTCCTGATATTGTATACATTGGGGGTGTGACTTACGTTTGGGAGAGATGCGACAGTTAGGCTTGGATCATGAGAGATCACTCGCACCTATATTGTGCGAAAAAGACCTCCAACGAGCTCGCAATCGTGAGACTGCTAAATTTACGGGCAGTGCAAGAGAGTTACAAGGTAGTGAGAGGATTGGGGGATTTGGGGGGGGGGAGGAATTGGAGCGGCTCACCTGGAGATATTGACTCGGGGTAGACAAGGTAAGGACACGGTTTGAGCTACGTCTTAGACAACTGTACCTAGCTACTATATTATGGGCACGCTAGCTATCTAGGAGATCACTTAAGTAGAGAGCTACTACATAATCACGAGAAAGAAAACCCAGATACAAGATGTATCAACCTCTTCTCAAACCCTTGGTGAGAACCCAAGGACGAAGAGGTGGTTGTGCCTCCTCCTTGCGGGGAAGAGCAATATTAGCGGGTGGCAGGAGGGGGGGGGGGGGGGGGGGGGCGAGAGTGGAAGGGGTTTATGGCTAGCTGGATGTGCCAAGGGCGATATATCGATACAAGAGGGTGGCCAGTGGGACATGATGTACGTCGTGGTAGATTGTGATTGCAGGGTTAGGTGTCCCCGGCCTCTCTCCCCCATGGTCAGGGCCGGATGTAGGATTAGGGTTTAGCGAAACCTTTTTAGACCATATTCTTATAGTATGGTAGATTGGTAGGTTTTCACTGCTTGCTGCCCCTCGAGGTCGAAGTCTCTTGGCGTGCCCTCTGGAAGGGATTATGCAGCGAATGTCATTGACTATCATTTATCGAAATACCAGATCTAATTAGGATATACGCCAAATACCGATGCGTGCCCCAATCAATATTTGGTGCGATCACACGAGACCGAAGTACTCCACACGCTCACTCAAAAGATCAGATAGAAAGCACGTATATTTTAAACAATCAAATTACTTTTTTGCTGATATTTTACAGTCTCGCACACACACACACACACACACAACTAATAAGGTACACCTCCCCCCCTAATTCCACAACCTCGCCGTCCCATCCGCCCCCGCACTAAACAGCCAACACTCCCTGCTATGCCACTCCACATCGAGCACACCTAAGCTCTTCTCCACCTTATGCCCCCTCAGCACCTTCAGCGGCACAATCAGCGCATTCTCCATCAAGTCGCCATACACCCTCCCGTGGAAGATCTGGATCTGCCCATCGTCACTCGCCGAGCAGAACAGCGGGAGCCCACCCTGGTGGTATTTCACGCCACGAATCGCCTTCTGGTGGTACCGCATCGTCTTGTACGGCTTCGTCGACAGGTCCATATCGTGCCACAGCAGCCGCTTGTCGTACGCTCCCACAATCAGGTTATCACCGCCCGGGTGGATGTCGAAGCTGGATATCCACCTTGACCCCGGCTGCAGCGTCTTGAGCAGCTCCTGCTTCGCGAGGTCGTACACTCGGATGTAGCGCTGCGTCGCGACGAACAGGTGTGGTCTGAAGGGGTGGAACTCGACGCGCTGGATGATACCACGCGACTTGCGGAAGGGGGATTGGGAGTTGTGTTTTGAGAGCTGGTGGATGGCGACGGCGCGGTTCTGGCCCTCGGGCGAGACAGTGGCGAAGTAGTCGCCGCGGCGGTGCCAGGAGATGTGTTTGACGGTGTGCTTTGTGGTGACGATGACGGCGACGCCGGACTCTTGTTGTGTGGGGGACGGCTTGGTCCATTTTGCGGGGGGCTCCTTCTTGAGGGGGTCTTTCTTGACGATTTCGGCGTAGCCCCAGCCGGCGGCGAGGAGGTCTTTTGTGGTGGTTTCGGTCTCGGGGTCGAAGATGGGGGGGTGGATTAGGAATACGTCGTCGCCGCTGTCAAGGTCAGTTAGCACACTGTAAAGGACCAATATAAAGTGGAGAGAGGGCCATACGTAGCAGCAGCCAGAACAGCAGCTTCCTTGCCCGGCCTCCACTTGACTGCATTCACGGCCTCTCCGTCCTCGCCAACCTGCAGCTTCCACACCTCTCTTCCAGTCAAGATCTCCCACACTCTGACTGTACCGTCGTCACCACCAGTCGCTAGCCATATTCCACTAGGATCACAGGACAGCGTCCTCACTCTTCCCACATGCCCTCTGTACACTGTCGCCGTTGTTGTCGGGAATGGTCTCAGATCCTGGGGACTCGGCAGCTTTGGCAGCAAGCTCTCAGGGTCGATATTAAGCTTATTTCTCCTGACCCTAGGAGCAAGGTACAAGTCCAAACACCTCTCAAAGCGCTCCTTAATAAATCCATTAAACCCAGGCACCAATCTGAGCGCTGAATGAGCTCTTGGCAGGTAGTCCTTTGGTCGGTCCTCAGGATCCATCTCCTCCCAGGCCTTGCGCTCCGCCTCGGTGGGTAGATATTCCTTTGGCGGGTTGTAACTCTCGTCATGGGTCGGCGGTGGCAGCTTCGGCGCGGGGATGTTCATGATGTGGTCTGGGCGGGGCGGGAGCTCGTCGGCCCAGATGTCGTAGAACGAGGGCTTCTCGGGCTCTTTCGGCTTATTAGGGACGATACGGCCTTCGCGGATGGCCTTGACAATCTTCATGATGCGCTTCGCCTCATGCTTCGAGGGGACGAAACGGCGCTTGGGCTCCGGCGCGGCCGACAGCGGCATTATCTCTGTTTTTGAAGTGAAGTACTCCACCGTAGGCTACCACAGTCGCACTTCATCAGCACCCCAGACACACACCAGAAAAAGGACGGGACCCCACGGCTGCTACTCACCTGGTACGGATCATACCCCGCCGCATTCTCATCCATCTGTATCTTCCTCACCATCTCCAGCTCCTCATCCGTCAGCTTCACGCCCAACCCCGTATCCTTATCCGTCATCCCCGTCCAGCCTTTCGGCACCTCGATGCTCTCCAGCAGCGCATCCAACGCCTCCCCCTTCGCCGGCCGCATGATCTTCTTCCCGTTGATGTCGTACCCCACGTGCGGATACTCGTCGTAGAAGTCAAGCGGTATATTCCCAATCGTGTTCGCGCCGTCGTCGCCCGCGTCCGTGTCGTCACTGTCATACACGGGGTCGATCTCGGGGTAGATGTACCGCTCGTTCCCTGCAGAGTCAATCGCAATCTTGCGGTTGGCTGCGAACTTGTCCCCGCCGGCGAGCGTCAGGTCGCTGAGCTTTTCGCCGGCCGCGGCGGTCCCGGCGTCGTCTACCTCCTTCTCGTCCTCGTCTTCCGAGTCAGACTCCTCGTCCTCATCGCCTTCGTCCGGCTCATCCTCAGACTCCTCGCTGCTACCCTCGCCGGAACTGTCGTAGTCGCTGTCGTCCTCCTCTTCGTTCTCGCTGCCGGAGAGTGCGCCGTCAAGAAGGCCGACCTGAAAGTCGTCTTCCGAGATGTCTGAGTGCTCGTGGTCCTCGCTGGGGGGCGGGAGACGTCTTTTTTTTGAGGTTGGGGGGGCCATTGTGCGTCAATTGGTGGTTTTTGATGGTGGTGGAGGTATGGGTTTATTTGAGAGGACTAGAAAAAAAAGTTTAGGAAGAGGCTCTTTGCTAGTCAAATCTGATAAGATTAGATTGCACCGATGGGCTAACTGGTTTGAGGAGGTGGGGGTGCAGAGATAAGATAGGCCGTGATTAGATAAGATCCCACCACCTCACCTCACTCGATCGCAGTGCAGAAATCCAGCCAGCAAATCGTTGGCTTGGCAGTATCATCATCATCATTCAAGATCCTCTCTGGATCCTCTCATACAACGCAGTTCTCCAGACAATCCAGACAGTCCAGTCCAATTCAAACTCGCCCAACTACAGAACCTGCCTGCCTGTCTGCCTGTCTGCCAATCTACTCCCCCCATGCCCGATGCCCGCAATGGCTGACGGCGGTGACCTCCCTCCTCTCCCAGAGAGCCCTCCGGTAAGTATCTCTACTCGTACTATTCGGGAAAACCAGAAAGAGCAACCCCACTCGAGATTGGCTGGAATTTTAGCTATATATATATATATACTCACCCTACAGTAGTACCGCACGCCCTCCCCGCGCCGTCCTCGCCGCTACACAAACTCCATGGACACTCCCACCGCCCCCCAAACCGGCTACGAAGATGTCGTACGCCTCCTAGAGACGGTTGCCAGTGCCACCCTTGGCGAACGCAACCTAACAGACACCTACGAAGCGCGGATCCGAGACCTCGAAGCTGAGAACGCCGAGCTACTCAAAGGTCTCCCCCCTTCCCCCCCTTCCCTCCCTCCCTAGCCCACACACTAACCCCGCCCAACAGAGAACGAAGAGCTCCTCCACCTTCTCAACCGCGACGACCGCCCCGCCACCGCGCAAGCCACCAAAGCACTCGCGCAAGTGCGCACACTCAAAGAGTCGCTCATCTCCGACCGCGAGGGGTTCTCCCGGCGTGAAGCGGGCCTCACAGCACGGGTATGGGGGCTCGAACAGGCGGTGACCGACTCGCTGCGGGACCTGCTGCAGGAGCGGCGGCTGAGGGAGGAGGTGGAGTGGCAGGTGTGGCCCAGGGGACGGGAGGAGGTGGAGTGTGCCAGGTGTGCGGCGAGGGAGGAGGCGGGCGGCGGGGAGGGGGGAGGGGTGGGAGAGGAGATGTTGAGAAGTATGGAGGCGGTCACGGTCGAGTTGGAGATGAGGAATGAAGAGATGAAGGTTTGTTGGTCCTTGTGGTTGTGATTGGTGGTTGGCGGTGATGGATGGTGGGGAAGGTGCTAACACCTAGCAGCAAACACAAAGCGCCGCAGAAGAAGAGCTTGAACTCGCCAGCCACGAAATCGAGCGTCTCCAACGCGAAGTCAAAGCTCTCGAGATGCTGTAAGCTCTCCCCCTTCCTTTCCTTTCCTCCCCTCCCCCCCCTTCCCAGAGCAACCCACTAACAACCCCCGGTCAGAAAACACCACAAAGAAGACACCGAAGCCGAGCTCGACATGCTCAAGGACGGGATGAAGCGCATTGAGCGGGTCGCGATGATGTACGGGCCGCTCGAGGACGAGTTAGGGCTGCTGGACGCGATTGACTCGTGGAAGCTTGAGTTCTTGGCTGTGTCGACGAAGCGCAAGAAGAGGAAAAAGAAGGAGGAGAAGCATGGGCTTGGGTAAGTTTTGTAGAGCTGTAGGAGTAGGGGTGTAGAGATGAGGTGTGAGGGCGAGTTGGGGGCGAGTTGGGACTTTTTTTTTGGCTTTTTTGGTTGTTGGTTTTTTGAACTTTTGGTGATGTACATGAATTTACGACGAGTGAGGATGTATGTTTACGATTGAATTAATTATTACTATTGCTACGCTACGCTACAAAAAATGGACAAAAAAACATGGGATGAAAGCTAGAAACAGAAAGAAAAAAACGTGAAAAAAGATAAAAAGAAAACTCCCGAACCCATTCCCTCCAAACTCCCGTATTTCAATTTGTACTCCGTCGCGCCTCAACGAGGAGCAGACGAAAACAAGCAAAAACAAGGGAAATGGAGGGAAGGGAAACAAGGGGGGAGAAAGGGAGTGCAGAATGTCTGCAGGTATGGTTTAGCCCGAGCGTAATTGGACGACGTCCTACGCAGCGCAATGGAATATACCGCCTCTTTTTACCTCCCCATCCACCGAGATCACCTTGCGGGACCTCAAGGCTTCCAGGAAGGCAAAGATTGTTCTCGGGTCTGTCAACGCGGAGCTACACCACATACCAGTCTCCCCCATGAGGGGAGTCCGGAGGTGCTTCCTGAACTCGTTGAACTGCAGGCCATCTCCCAGAGGGTGACGACAAGCACAGACCCGTGATGTGGAAAAGAGAGAAGAAGAAGAAGAGAAGAGGAAGCGCATACCGAGAATTTATACCCTACAACCCACTGCCAAGCTACACCATGGAAAAAAAAGGGTTCGCCGACAGGCAGCAGGGAATGACATAAGCATCCTCTCTCTTCCCCTCCCTAGCAACCGCATTAGCACACGATTGGCTGGCGTGGACGTCGAGAATCTGAACCCCACCAAAAATCGCGAATCGTAAAGTCCGCAATTGTCACGAACCACATAATGAACACGCAGTTCAACCCGCTCAACCGCGCGGGGGCTTTCCGCCCCTTTCTGCAGACATTCACACGCGCCTTCTCGGCCACGGCTGCAGCGGAGAAGAAGCACTCGAAGCGCCGCCTGCAGCACATGCTCCGAAACGTCCCCGAGTACCCATACCCGATCAAGCACACCTTCAAGCAGTCGTGGTTCGGTCTCTACGGCGGAAAGCACATCCAGTTCGGAAACAACGTCCCCGAGTCAAACTACACTACCCGCCGAAGATGGCTGCCGAATGTGCGCCATAGGACAGTCTTTTCAAGGGCCCTCAACCAGTACTTCTCGATGGATATCACCGCGAACGTCCTCCGTATGTCTTGCCCCGGTTGTCTGTCTGGGTTGGGGTGTGGTGACTGGCCATTGACTTGATAGCGGCTTTCTAGGCACCATTGATAAAGCTGGCGGCCTCGACGCATACCTTACCGGCACCAAGGCAGCGCGCATCAAGTCTCTCGGCCCCACCGGGTGGCGTCTGCGATGGCGCGTCATGAACTCCCCACGGTACCAGAAGCAGCTTGCGGAGGAGCGGGAAGCACTAGGACTGCCACCTCTTGCGATGCCGCAGAAGAGCGCACTTGACCCGGAGGAGGCCGAGATGCTAGCCCTGAGCGAGGGGCATGACATCGAGGGTATCGATAAAGAGGAGTACGAGGCCATGATGCGGGATCAGGAGGCCGCGCAGCAGCAGCTGAAGCCGAAGGAGAAGACGGCGGCACAGCTCATGATTGAGGAGATTGAGAGGCAGAGGGGACTTAAGAAGGATGTGGAGGCATAGAGGGAAGGTACTTGTATTATAGTTCAGGTATGAAGAGAGACTTGTACAGGGGATCGATTTAGCAGTTCTATCTACGGATGTTGGGGCGTAGAATTAGCTGGTGCTGATGATATCCATAGTTCCACTTGCACTCGGGATAGAATGATAATATAGATCTCGAACCGGGTGTAAAAAAGAAGTTATCCAGCATTCTATAATTCATTGCGGACATCAGTCATCTTAAGTTCATATAGCAGATCATTCATTATCACTCGCTCTGGTGTCCCGCCAAACCCAACTAAATCTCATGGAATACTTACCCACCACATTCTTTGGATTTGGGGGTCCTATCACTCGTGGATACCAAAACATGAGATGAACCTAGTGTCGCGATACATCCACCTGCAAATATAAAGTGATCTACCATTTCTTGCTTGTGCTGGGTACATGTAGCGTAAGGCGTGTAGAATGAAGAGAGAAATGATGGAGTAGAAAGGCCCACAGACTCATGCTTTATATATCCCACTTAAGGACAGAGTGTAATACCATGTATATTCCGCCAGATGGAACATACGATGTAGAGTATCGCGCACAAGCATAATAAGGGTTAGGGTTCGGTGAAGCCCCCCATCACAATACATCACTCGGCAGATTTAAAACCTGAGTGGTTGAAAAATCTTCTTCCTTTCCCGTTAGACTACCAACGGTCAACCATAGTGATCACGTTTGGAGAGCCTTTGCAGGTACCGACTAATTTCATTCCCCAAATACTTTATTCCCCTCCTTCCTGACCAAGATCTCTGAGGGCGGGTTCCGAGGCATATCCTAAGCGGCTCTTCGCGCCTGTTTATCCCATGTAGACACATTTGTGAGATAGGCGAGGCTAGAGGCGACATTATCATCCTACGTACCGCTTCAGCGCAAGACCATTCCGCTGTAGAAACGCCATATAGCGAGAGGTTTCGCCCGAAACAGTGTCTACACAGAAAGGGGCCTCTTCCCGAACCCCGATCTCACGCATTATTTTTGGTCTTGTACACAACAAGCAGTTTATGTTCAGCCCTTGACCCAAGCACTAGTTACAGAAGCTGTCAATCGGCGTACATAGAGCTTCCTCTCCCCGCGGCCGTCGTTCCCCCACAGTGAGCGCCTGGATCGGCCGCGGAATAATGGTACCTACATGCGATACGTAGCCTATCCGTCCCGATCACAGTGTGAGCGCCTCTTCGGGCCTTTAAGAAGCTTAGTCCTGTAGACTTCAGACTACATAAGAGTGTAGAGGAGGCTATGTAGCTGATAGAAGCTTAGACAAGTTATCCCTTCATCTACCAAAAAACGACCCTAGCCCTGAAGTTAATACCAACTAAGTGAGTGAGTGGACCAGCGGTAGTTCTCTTTCTCATGGCGTTCCTGTGCGGTGGGTGTAACGGGGGGGCGGACAGAGGCATGGGATGATATCGGATGAAGCATGGGTAAGATTTTCGGGAATTACTGCACTATAGACACTTTTCAGGTTCCCTTCGACCGAGTCAAGAACAGTTTACTAGTGGCCCGAGTGATACCACATGAACAAGCAAGCAAGGAAGGAAGGGAAAGTATTCAAGAACAAGCAAATTATTAGACCAGGCTTCTAAACGC